TTAATCCCTTATCATTTGATTTTGATTGTTTTTATTTCGAGGTTGTGCCAAGAGAGGAACAATAATCATACACATACTTACATATACATTGTAAACAACAGAAAAGAAAAAAAAAACTCTTTTCATTACAGTTTCAAAAATTCAAAAATTATGTGGTTGCTTCTGTACATTGATGACAAAATTTTACAAATATTTGCAAATTATTCGCAAAATAATTTCTTTCTTTTTTCTTGTATTGTGCTGTATTATAGACGTACAAAATAATAATAATGATAAAAAAGAAGGCACAGAAGGCTATCGTTTTTAATTAAGGATGTAACAATAACGGAAACATCGTGAAATCGTATTGTCAAAGTTCTCAATAATATCTTGGACCATCACAATATATCGAATTACAAGCCTCTTTGCTTAAACTAAGACTTATTGTGCAGCAATAGCTAAAAAAAAATGACAGAGGGAACTACATAGACCATGATCCTTTGCTCCATTTTTAGTGTAGACTACATGAAGAAATAACAGTTCTAAGCACTTTTAAGTTTTAGTTGTTCGGAATCTTGTCGAGGCATTTTAAGAGGAAAAAGTTTTGTTCGCCTCCACAAAATATCGCAATAAATATCGTACTGTGAGATGTATATTCGTGAAAATATCATACAGAGAAATTTGGATATTGTTACATCCCTTAATCGTGAGCTTTCCCACGATATCACAATAAATATCGTACTGTGAGGTTCATACCGTGACGATATCGTATCATGAGACTTGGATATCGTTACACCCCTACTTATGATCGTATCAAAATAAGCAAAATGAGAATAAAGTAGGAAGAACAATTATAATACATACCAAAATAACAAGATGACAGTTTTCTTTTTTCCATAACATTTACAAACACCTTGGGTCATTCTGCATCACCCATGGAGTTACCCATACCACAGTTTGAGAACCATTATTCAGTTTTAAAGCTCCTATATTGCACAAAATTCAGTGTTTCTCACAGAAAGTTGGTTAGGTAAGGCTGTGCTGCCGAAGAAGTGAGGAGCGGAGTGGAGCAGGGGAGATTTCCTGCAACGACCGTAGTTTTGCGAGGATTCACATGGTTCGGAGGGACGTAGTCAAAGCGGGGTCCACCATTATCAAGGCGGCCACCCTAACTGTAAAGTGCTGCACTGAAATTGACTCTTGTGAGCTTTAATCCATGTTTTAATGTTTTTACCTCCACAAAAACAGACCTAGAGACGCTCTGTTCCACCTTGTGACGTTAGGAAGCGGTAGTTTTCAGGTTAATAGGCAGGTGTTACCTTCAGTTCAGCAGAGTTCAAGGGCTGAAATTATCCAAATGATTCTAGTGAAGGTGTATGGAGTTTAAAAACACAGTGGAGCTCTTCCTGTATCTCTAACTCAGCCTAAATATGCTGGACTTGTGTGTTAAATGTGTGAAAGAAACACAACACCGGGTATGTTTTTGATGAGGAAACAACATTAAAACATAGATTTTAAAAAAGCATAATATGAGTAGGAGTAGTTGGCTATTTGAAAGAAATACTTGAACAGATAATCTACAAAACTACTTTTTCATGCTGCTGTGAGCTAATGAGAAAATAATTTCACTGTAGCTCATTTGTTCTAACAGAGAAACCATTGAATTTAGAGTTTTGTTCCACGAGGATAGGCCTAATTACAGCGATATTAACCTTAAATCGGGTCAAAACATCTGCAGTCTGAGAGTTAAATGCCAAATACCAATGAATTCTTAACTATCCGCCTTCTCAGTCTTAAACTATAGTCTGGTAAACCGAGCATCAGAAACAGGATCTTAGTGACACCTCGGTCCGTCCTCTGACATCTGCACAAGACTCTGTTTGTGAAAGAAGCAAAGCGGATTTTCTCAATTCCTAAAAAGCAGTTTTGGAGGGTACAAGGTTTTTACTCGCCAACTACAACATGCTCCTATTTTACATCATTCAAGGCAGAGAGAGAATGAGACAGACAGAGAGAGGGGGTGGGGCAACTAATCCTTGGATATGCACGGGACTATGTTTTTAAAGACTGTCTGTGTTCTGGACCCAAAAAAAGAGAGTTCAAAGAGAGTGTGTGAGGAAGAGAGGAGGGAGAGAGAAAAAAAAAGAAAGGTGAACTGCAGCCCACCTGACCACTGTCCAAACAAACATATTTCATGTTTTATAACGTGACCTCTGCTTTGGTTCTGTTGCGTGAGGCAGGTTTAAATGGGACTAAAAAAATAGGTGCTTGTTTTTTTAAATGAAGAAACATGTGATGGCTATAAACGAATTAAAATCAATGTAGCAGTGTATAGTTACGACATAGGAATTAGTACATTAATACAGTGTTTCCCTTTTTTTTTTTCTGGGGACCGATGTTTTAAAAGCCACAAACCTTTGTGACCCGTCAGTAGACATAGACATTATTCATAAATCACAAAATAAAGGTGGATTTGATGATTATTGAACATTAATGAGGATATTTTATTGTTGACTGATCGTGTCTCTGAACAATTAGTATTATTCAACTTTTAAACAATGAAAAACAGTAATTGAAGCAGCAATAAAAGGATCCATAAGTCGCCTGTTTGGACATTAAATTTAGCCTCCGTATATCACAAACCTACATGTGGACCGTGACAAGGCGACCCAAAAAAATCCACCTGAGGATCGCGACCCACTCCTGTTCCATTCCATTTTCTTCCACTTATCCGGGGCCGGGTCGCGGAGGCAGCAGTCTAAGCAGGGACTCCCAGACTTCCCTTTCCACTTCCTCCAGCTCTTCCAGGGGGGCACTGAGGCGTTCCCAGCCAGCTGAGAGACATAGTCCCTCCAGCGTGTCCTGGGTCTTCCGCGAGGCCTCCTCCCGGTGGGACATGCCCGGAACACCTCCTGAGGGAGGCGCCCAGGAGGCATCTGGAACAGATGCCCGAGCCACCTCAGCTGCTCCTCTCGACATGAAGGAGCAGCGGCTCTACTCCGACCGCCTCCCGTGTGACTGAGCTCCTCATTTTATCTCTAAGGGAGCGTCCAGCCACCCTGCAGAGGAAACTCATTTGGACCGCTTGTATCCGCGATCTTGTCCTTTCGGTTATTACCCAAAGCTCATGACCGTAGGTGAGGGTAGGAACGTAGATTGACGGTAAATTGAAAGCTTCGCCTTTCGACTCAGCTCCCTATTCACCACAATGGTCCGATACAGCGACCGCATCACTGCAGACGCTGCACCGATCCGCCTGTCAATCTCACACTCCATCCTCCCCTCACTCGTGAACAAGACCCCAAGATACTTGAACTCCTCCACTTGAGGCAAGTGGATCACGACCCAGTCTTTGGGAAACACTCCATTAATATACTAATATCCATGTGTGTCAGAGAGATGAGAAATGAGGGGCATTGTTATAGCAGTTAACAATTTTATTAGTTTTATAGTTTATTACCATTTTTTATATATTTTTTTACTCTTTATTATTGTAATATAATATGATTTGTGAGCTACTGTGCCCAAGTTATTTCCCTTGTGGATCAATAAAGTTTATCTAAGTCTAAGTCTAAATCTACCATACCAACTTTATTTATAAAAAACTTTAAAAACTTTAAAAACAGGAGGCCATAGTGCTGTACACAAACACAGAATAGACAAGGACAATCACAGTACAACACAATACACAATACAAACACAATACAACTACTAAAAAACAATAGAAAACAATAGGATATTCAAGAACAAAAAATGTACGTCTCACTTTTTAAAAGACAGTGAAAAAGACAGTGATTTGTAAACAGGTACAAACTCCGCCTGCCTAATCTTTATTGTCAGCAACTAGGGATGAGCATGATTAGTCGATTAATCGATAATTGATCATTAAGAATTTCATCGATTACGTTCATTTTAATCGACAAACCGAATGTAGGTTGCTGTGCGTAGCATAGGGTGACCAAACGTCCATGTCCGGGAACAAACAGGGTCCGTACATGTGTCTCTCTGCACTCAGAAGGAGCGAGCAGACACAAACAGTCAGTCAGTCTGCAACACGCATCGAAGCGCAAATGCGTATTTAACTTTCTGTTCCGGTCGGGACAAGTGTGAGGCCATGTGCACAGTGTACAAAGCAGCACATATGTTTCAGTGTGCCAGTGGGAAAAATCTCACCAGGACACTGAAAAACATGAAAAATCTTTGCCAGGTGAGAGTAGCGCAATGTTGATGACGAGGCCCCATCTCCCACATCCCGTACGGTGTCCTGGTTTTGACAAATGTAAATACGGTCACACTAACCTGTATTCCACTGAGTCGTGCCGCATCAGCGCACAAGACCTGTTTTTTTTTTTTTTCGCTTACTTTATGCAAATTAGTCATGTGGATTTAAGTTTTGTTTCTGTGAGACTTGCCCAAAGCTGCATTAAACACATTATAATGTCAAACAGGCTCAGTAGTGCAGATAGTAATAATAATGATGATAATGATAGTAATAGTAATAATGATAATTTTAATATAAAAACGTTAAAAATTGATTGTTAATTCTCCCGATGATAGATTAAGAAAATTTTATCGAATGCCCGACCCTAGCAGCAACAGAAAACACACGGTCCCCACGAAGCTCAAGTTTAGTCTTTGGGATGTCGAGCTGGAACTAGGCCTCTTAAGTCTATTTTATTTTTATTTTTTTTTTAAAGTGATGTGTCAGACACCCAGGAATGAGTGATAATGTGCTGTAGTACCATCACTGCATCACTTGTTCGATTCCCAAATGTACCAGTTGTGACTCAGCAGTGTAATCTTTGTCTCTTTTGTTTGTTGTTGACCTGACTTTTTGAATGGCTTTGTCTCTCTGTGAAGTTGCTTTGTTCTTAGAATCCAAAATGACGTCCCATTCCAGTCTCTAGACATTGCCATTCTAGTAGTTTCTCTGAAGTTTATTTTTGCCACCTCAGCTTTGTCCTGTACCCGTTTCACTTCAGCCTGTGTCCTTGAGTGACTCCTCTTTCTCCTGTCTCCAGTATGAGGAGGCTGTGTCCCTGTCCCAGAGGGTGGTGTCCATGGGGGAGGAGGCCGGAGAGTTCCTGCCCAGAGCCTACCTGGCTTTAGGGCTCTGCTGCAGCCTGCAAGCCTCCGAAGGTAACGCGATAAACATGAATGCACGGAAAATTATAACTTCTTAGGATGTACTTTTCCGTCTTTGCTTACGCTTCAAATCTGTATTTTTGTATCATATATTCTGATGATTTTATATTTCACTGTCATTCAAAATTTTAAAAGAAAAATAATGCAAAAATTCAGTTTAAAGTTGTATTAATGTTAGTAATATGCCTCTTTTACAGCCTCTTTAAAAGCAGACCGGGATAATTTTAACAAGCGAGCTCTAAAGGCGCTTAACAAGTAAGTGATATGGGCTTTACAATTTACAGTTTGGACTATATATTTTATAATATGGTGATGCTGAATGTTTTCTGAATGTTTATTTGACAGTTTTGTGGGAGTTATGGTCGTATTTTACGTTTACAGTTGTGTTAGTGATGATTTCCTAAAGTTTAAAGCGTGAACTCACATGTTTTCTCAGCTCTCCAGACGGGCTTTTTGCTCCGTATTTTCGTTTTCTCACTCAGTTATTTGTGGATCCTGTCATGGCGGCATGTATTGTTCCGTTCTTCCGTTCCCATTCCCTATAAAATGTAAATACCTGCTTTGGCTAACAGGGCAGGTAAAATAGGACTGTACAATTAGTCGCAATAAAATCATATTTGACGTTTGAATGGTTTAAAATATCAAAAAGCTAAGATCAGCAGTTCTGTTCTTCACTATTTTGGCTGTAAACATGCACTAAGCTTTCTTTAAATATAACTTAAAATATGCTGTACCTGATTTTTCTTTTCTTAAAATACAAAAAAAATATAAATGGTTTGCAGCAGTCCACACTTATTCACCGCAATGAGTGTTAGAAGCACTTTTCATTCAACTTCCAGACTCCACATTTGAGTTTTACTATCATGGTAATCCAACAACTATCATGCTAACAGCGAACCAGCAGTACTTCCTGGTTCATAGAATATCATAACATTTTATAATTAGATGCAGACGGCACACAGCAGTCTTATTTTATCCCCAAGCGCTGCTTTCCTGAGACAAAACATGTTTTAGTTTATTGCATGAAATAAATTAGATACAGTCCCTTTTATAATAAGAAACATTTGCGTTTTTTCTCTTCCGTTTCAGAGCTCACTCGCTGGACCCTCAGGATTCACAGATTGCGATGTATCTGGCTCTACAACTCGCCCTTGTTCGTCAGGTAAAATCTCACATTCCATTAAACATCCACTTTGTTATGTTATTCACTCTAAACTGTTTATAATCATGACATGAAAATGCGTGTAGACAATGCACACATGAAACAATCTCTAAAAGGAAGTGTATTTATTATATATTATATTCAATTGTGTGCGTTACCGTATTTTTCGGACTATAAGTCACACTTTTTTTTTCACGGTTTGGGTGGTCCTGCGTCTTATACTCCGGAACAACTTATATATTCAAAACTTTCACTCTGACACACGAGAAATGACGCTCTTGGCTTGTGTGTTAGTATCTGCTGCTCCTATTACTCCTGTATCACTGTCACTTGGCTCTACTGCGCATGTCTCCTGCATGTGTCCTGCTCCAAGTAGTGAAATCTGCAGCCGAAAATGGTAATCGAGCAGCAGAAAGAAAGTTTGAAGTGAGCGAGAAACCTGTGACAGCACTTTCCTGGAAGTCACTGGATGGATCGACAAAGCCTGGACTTCAGTGACAACCAAAACCATCCTGTCGGGATTCAGAAATGCCAGGATAATTCTAACTGGAACTGATGCTGAGTCTGACGACAGCGACACAGAAGAGGAAGCGGCGCTCTGTTTACCTCTGGAGGTCGCGGAGTTGCTCAGAAGTGACACCGAGGATGAAGAATTGAATGGATTTAGTGATTTGGAGTGAGATGGAGAGTTTGTTAAACTTGTTCTGTTCTGTTGTTTATGTTATAGTTTATCTGAAGAACTGTTCATATGTGACGTTAACAGTCTGTTGTTCTCTGTTCTATTGTTATTTCTATAACTTGACTTTCAACATGGTCAGTTCCTGGTCTTTGATTTTATAAAATAAATTTCCCCCAAAAGTCCGACTTATAGTCTGGTGCGACTTATATATGTTTTTTTCTTCTTCATTATGGATTTTTAAAATAATTATATATAATATAATACATACCAAAATAGCAATGATAATTTTCTTTTTTCTATAACTCTTGAAAACACCTTGGGTCATTCTGCGTAACCCACGGAGTTACTGATACCACAGTTTGGGAACCATCATTCAATTCGTTCTTTTCAGTTCCTATATTACACTTTAAGCCATGTTATAAAGCTTTTACCTCATCAAAAACAGACCTGGAGACGCTCTGTTCCACCTTGTGAAGCGATTTTCAGGTTAACAGCTACCATTTGTTCAGCAGAGTCTGGCAGTTCCAGGGCTGAAATCCTCCAAATGATTCTAAACACAGTGGAGCACTTCCTGTATCACCACATGACATCATTACACATGACATTAAACATCCATTTTGTTATGTTCTTTAATCCTCTTGTGTGCAGGTCTCTGCCTCCATGGAGCCCCTGCAGATGGCGCTGTCTCTTTGTGGAGAGGACTTGCACTCGCTCCATCTGCTCGCTCTACTCCTCAGCGCCCAGAAGCACCACAGACACGCGCTGGACACGGTCACTCTGGCACTGACGCAGCACCCTGACAACTTCAAGTAACTACCAACACACGCAATCATACGGCTCAGGATGTCGTGATATCAACGTTTAAAGCATCAACTATGACGCAAAATCAACTTTTCACGACATTATAGTTGTTTCCCCTCGTCATTTACTCTTGAAGTTGTATTCGGAGAGATTCACTGTTTATTTTGAAGACGTCATAATGCCAGTTTTCGCCGTGCCCCCACTTCTCTGCACTTACTTCATTCTCCAGTTTTTATTTTCTTAATCGATGAGGTGAATTGTTGGATTTGGCAGCGTTGCGTAGTCATTTAGGCACAAATGAAGAAAAGTCAGCTGCTCGATAGCGTGATGTGCAGCCATCCATCTCAGGTCAGCGAACTTGTTTCTTTTATTAAGTCGTTTTAGATTAATGTTGCGATTTAAAATGTCCAAGTTATTACATTAAGATCCACCTCTCCCCCTCCTCCTTCCACCCCTTGCCATCTCTCACATCCCTCTCTCTCCCTATCACTTTTCTCTCCATTCCCCCCTCTCCCTCCCTCCCTCCACTCCTTCTTTCCTTCTTTCCACTATCTTTCTTTCTTCCTCTTCTACTCTGTCTTGCTCTGTCTTCCCTTCCATCTCTCTCTCTCTCCCACTCCCTGTCTCTTTCTCTCTCTCTCTCCCTTTGCCTCCCCTCTCTCCCTTACTTTCTCTCTCTCTCTCCTACTCTCTCTCTCTCTCTCCCTTTTCTCTCTTTTTCCCTACCTCCCTCTCTCTCTCTTTCTTTTTCTTTCTCTCTCTCTCCCTCTCTCTCTCTCTCTCTCTCTCTCTCTGTCTCCCTCCATTCCTCTGTCTCATTCTTTCTCTCCCCCCTCACTTTCTCTCTCACTCTCTCTCTCTCTTTCTCCCTCTCTCTCCCCATCTCTCTCTCTTTCTCCCTCGCTCTCTCTCTCTCTCGCTCTCTCTATCTTTTTTTTTCACTCTCTCTCCCTCCTTCTGTCTCTCGTTCTCTCTCTCTGTCCCTCTGTCTCCCTCTATTCCTCTGTCTCGTTCTCTCTCGCTCTCTCTCTCTCTCTCTCCCTCCTTCTGTCTCTCGTTCTTTCTCTCTCCGTCCCTCTGTCTCCCTCCATTCCTTCTGTCTTGTTCTCTCTCTCTCTCTCTCCCTCTTCTCCCCACCCTCACTTTCTCTCACTCTCTCTCTTTCTCCCTCTCTCTCTCTCTCTCTCTCTCTCTCTCTCTCTCTCTCTTTCTTTCTTTTTCTCTCTTTCTCTCCCTCTGTCTCTCATTCTCTCTCTCCCTTTCTCCCCCCCTCACTTTCTCTCTTACTCTCTCTCTCTTTCTCCCTCTCTCTCTCTCCCCATCTCTCCCTTGCTCTCCCTCTCTCTTTCTCCCTTGCTCTCCCTCTCTCTTTCTTTTCTCTCTCTCTCTCCCTCCCTCCCTCTGTCTCTTGTTCTCTCTCTCCGTCCCTCTGTCTCCCTCCCTCCGTCTGTCTCGTTCTCTCTCTCTCCCCCCTCTCACTTTCTTTCTCCTTCTCTCTGTCTCTCCCTTCCTATCTCTCCCTCTCTTTTTCTCTCTCTCCCCATCTCTCACTCTCTCTCCCTCCCTCTCTCTCTCCGTGTCCCTCGCTCACACAGTTGAAGCCTTATTTAGCCGTGCCAGAGCGGAGCCTGCATTGCGGTTCCTCGGTGACTTTGACCCTGTAGTCCCAGGACTGATCCCACCTGTAAACTGCACCAGGGGAGTTTGGAAAGAGCCCAAATATTTAGATTTGCACGTCTGACCTTCATCTCTCCGCTGAAATTTATACTTGTGAATTATGGTTTAGTTTAACGACTTACGCCGTCATAAAGGCGAGTTAAGATTAAGATACACTTTATTCTCCCTGTAGTGAAATATGTCCTCTGCATTTGACCCATCCCTCTGTGCTGCTGCGGGTAACCTGTCAGGAGCTGTGCCCGCCCACCCCGTCTCCAGATCTGAATCTTGATTTGGTCAGGACCGACTCGCCTGAAGGATTGTCTGTTTTATTGCGTGTTTCAAGGTCTTGCCCAAAGACACAATGAACGCGAGGGATTAAACCACCAACGCTGAGGTAGTGCGTTACTGTTGTACTCATGACATACTTACCACATTTATAAATACTGCGAAAAGGCAAAAAAGAACTCTCAGTTGAAAACAAAGTGCCTTTTTATGGAAGCAAAATACAGTTTATCCATTATGATCTGTAGTTCGTAGCTGCTCGTTACACCATCTAGTGGCACAAAGGAGAAATTTTAGAATAGAAAACAATATCATTATAGGCATGTACAATTTACACTAAACCCAGGCACAGTAACATTGAAAGCAACTCACTCTTCAGTGCAGACATGTACGTGGGATATTTACAACATACTTTAAAAGAGTATAAAAGAAAAAATAGAATAAAGAAGTAAGTACTAGTGCAAGGCATACAAAAAAATGAATAGAAGGGGTGGCATGAGGTATTCTGTGCTGGTTATATACACAGAAGTCCTACTACAGTACATACAGAGGATTACATACAGGATGATCTTGAACAGGGGTCATCAAACTAAGGCCCACGGGCCAACTCCGGCCCGCCACACCCCTTTGACCGGCCCATCAGCTATTCTGCCCCACATCACTTGAACTGGCCCTATGAAGCAATCCTCAAAAGTTGTCATGGCCTACTTTTTGGCAAATAATAACACATCTGTATCTTGTATTTTTTCAATTAAAATTATATTTATATGAAGTATTTATATTTATATTTAAATAATTCTATGACATATTTGCTTTTGCATTTTCGTCTCCTGACAAGCTCAAGATCAAACGGTGACAGTGAACGCATACGCAGAGTTCTGTAGTGCAGTTAAGGACAACAAAATGGTGACTGTTAAAGTATGAAAAGTTGACAGAGAGTGCTGAGTTTTCAAAGAACAGTGGACGACCAATATTTTTTTTGTTCAGTGTAAGGACCGTGCAGTTTGTCTGATATGTAAAGAAAGTGTGGAGGTTTTCAAAGAATATAATCTGTGTCGTCAGGGTCGTACATACAGTTCTGTTACACGACCGACCCGACCCCAGCCCCCATCACAGGAGGGATAATGTGGCCCCCAGAGAAAAAAGTAAACATTTTCATAGACTGTATAAAGACACCACCTATCGTGTTAAACTCCAGTCAGATGAAGCTCACGAGGCCACCACTTACAGGAGCGTAATTGGAGCCAAGGTCCGTACTCTGTATATAGTGGAATAAAAACACCAGGATCATGCAGAGCGAGTTAACACAAACATTTTAAGATCAAAATGAAGAGCCTGACAGCAGCAGCAGGTTCGGTACAAGTGAATTTGAGCCAGAATCCATTGAGCCGCAAGTGCCCCCACGCTCACTTCATACTTGGAACAGTTTAAGTCAACGCTAAAACAACTTAAATCATCACAAATAATTGATTCTTGAGATAATCCGCATCTGATTTAATGACTGAATAACTGTTTGAGCATTGGAGGGACAATTTACCGACACTGCCAGCATTGGAAGGGCATCTGGCGTAATTAAATCTAACAATTTGAAAGTACTTGCAGTCTTATGAAACACCTTGAAATATTGTGTAATAGTTCAGATTCACGATCGTCGCTCACACGCAGATTGGATCAGTAAATGATTCTTTACAAATGTCTTCACACATTTCAGCCTCGTATTGATGTTCTGTTGTTTCTGCGCAGCCTCCGCCCAAACTCGGCTCCATATTTCACTTTAACTCGGCTCCTCGTGTTGCATCATCTTCCTCAAGTGTTTTCTCATCATTTCAAGCGCAACAGTTCACCGGGCGGCCTTCGGGGGGCACTCTTGGCTTCCACGCTCTCTCTGCTGACAGAAGGAGGAGTGTGTGTGTGTGTGTGAGAGAGAGAAAGAGAGCGAGAAATGGAGATGGAGGGAGGTTAGATGGGGAGAAGAGAAGGATGAAGACAGAAGGAGAGAGGAGAGAGTGAAGGATACAGATTGGGAAGAGGAGAGAACGGGGATGAGAGGAGGTGGGAGATGTGAAAGAGAAGGAATGGGAGAGTGAGACGGAGGGTGAGACTGAAGGAGAGAGAGAGAGAGAGGAGGGAGCAGATGGAGGGATGGAGGAGAGAGGGAGGGAATGTGGAAAGGAGAGAGGTGAAAAGGAGGGCAGTAAAGGGAGTGTAAGAGGAGGGGATAGACTCAAGGGGGAGAGAGTGAGGGATGGGTGCAGGGAGCAAGGGATCGATGAAAACAGAAGGAGAGGGAGAGAGCGTTTGTTGACTCAAGGAGAAAGGGAGAGAGACTGAAGGATAGAGAGATAGAGAAGCAGAGATAGAGGTCTAGAGAAAGAGAGAGGAAGGAGACTGACAGAAGGAAAGAATGAGGGAGACTGAAGGAGAGAGAGTGGGACAGAGGAAAAAGAGTGATGGAGGGAGGAAGACAGAAGATGAGAGAGAGAGGGTGACGCAGGAAGGGGGGAGGATAGGAAGTATAGACGAAGAGAAAGAGTAGAAATAAGCGAGAGGAAAACCAGAAGGATTAAGGGACAGAGGGAGGGATGGCAGAGACAGAGGAGGAGAGAGAGAGGTGGAGTGATAGATTTAGTGAGGAACAAATGAAGGAAGAGTGAGAATAGAGATAGAAGCCAAAAAAAGGATGGATAGAGGAAGAGAGAGTGGTAGAGATAGAGGGAGACTGTGGAGAGAGAAGAGAATCTGAAGAGAGCGAGGGGGGATTGATGGAGGGAGAGAAGTATGGATAGAGGAGGAGAGAGAGGGAGCGAGAGAGAGAGAGAGCACATAGGAGTGATGAGGGAGACAGTAGGAGATAGAGAGAGAGAGAGAGAAGAGAGAGACAGGGAGTCTGAAGAGAGCAAGAGGGGGGATTGATAGAGGGAGTGCAGGATGGATAGAAGGAGAGACTGAGGAGAGAAAGAGAAAGGGTGAGGAGGAGAGATGGAAAGAGAGAGCACAAGGGACGGAGCATGGAGGGAGACAGAAGAGGAGAGAGAGAGCGAGGGAGTGTGAAGAGAGCAAGAGGTGG